GCAGCTGGCTTCTTCAATTTGAGGCTCGGTTATAGTCACGTTCGGGATATCATCATTCGTAAACACTATAGATAATCTGTATATCGAACTGTCAGTCAGTGTCACCATTCTAATAAAATTAAAAGTATCGATGATCACGCCCTCTCTACAATCGAGTAATTAAGTAATCGAGTAACTAGCAAACGATCTTCGTAAAGATGATGCCACATGTATTAAAAAGTAAAAAGGAATTAAGCACATCAGCTAAACATTCAAAAGAAGGACAATTTATTTAGGAAACTGTTACAGTAGTACAGCGACATCCAGGTTCAGATAGTGTATGTAGAGTAGTCACTTTGCAATATAAAAATAATGTCTTTAAGACCCATATTACATCTCAACTGTGATTTTTGCGTGAATTTTCTCGGAAACAAAAATAAATTAACAATTTTGTCTTGTTGAATAGTGAAGAATAACTCTTGGTATAAAAATAAGTGGCCTAACTTTATGGAAATTTCGGCTAATCTCTGAAACGGTTTGGCCGATTTTGAAGTGACTTTCACTAGAAGTTGACTTATGTAATAAGGATTAACTTAGACTCATGGCTCGATGCAATTCGACCGATATCAAAATCGGAGATCCGTATATCAAACAACTTTTTCTAAATTCAATATATTTTTAATTATGAAGTGTGTCTGTTTACGGTTTCGCGTGCATAAGTATAATTAGTTTGCACGTTTGATTGCGATTGCGAAGATTAAGCGACCTTCGCAAAAGCCAATAATGGGATGGGCAATCAATCTTTTTTATTTAGCTGAACGGGGTGGTGATGGGGCGGAGCGGGGCATGGCGAGTATTTGCTCTCTCTTTAACGTATACTTGCTTAGTAATGTGTAAAAATGTTTCGTCATCCATCCGATTACTGACCTTTTCAAACATCGCTTATCCTCTACAATCGCAGATCAAACTTGTTAACTACTTCAGCATCAAGTCAATCTACCCAGCATTTCTGACTGGACCCACGTGTGGTGGTGCTAAAGCACAGATATTCTTAATAGATGAAACTATTCCAACCAGCATTCCTCGTTGCATTCAGCACACCAATTAGGATTGGTAGTGTTAAAGCACATATTATTATTCGATGATTCAAATGCATCCAGAATTCCGCACTGGGCCCACATAAAGGTGCCAGTGCGGATTGGTGTGGTGGTGCTAAAGAATATATATTTTTTCAATTAATGATTAATCTACCAAATAATCCGTACTGGGCAGGCGCGGTCGTCCTAAATCGTTCCGTTAAAAAAATTGACCACTCATCCGATTGCCGGCCCATGCAATCGTTGCTTAACCTCCTCAATCGCAGATCAAACGCGCTATCCGGCACCATCGGGCTTTTCACTTGTTTATATACGGATATTGTCGTATTATTTTGTAAAATTTAATATATTTTGATGATATGGTAAGTTTGCGCAACTGAATCGTTCTACCGCCTTCATACAATTGAAGCGATACCGCAGACCATGAGATTTGTCACTGATATTGACAGGTTGTACAATCTCATGAGCAAACACTTGCGTTTTTCCATACATTTTATGAGTGCGTGCGATTCGTGCGATATCGCTCATCGATATCGAATAACATCGCATCTAGCCATGAGAAAAGAACCTTAGGTTACTTTCCATTCGCATAAAGTCGCGGGCACAACTAGTTAAATGTAATTCTAATTTACTATTTTTCAGCACTAATGATATGGTGATAATGGGACTGTTTCAGAATGGATCATGCCAAGAAAAACAAACATATTTTTTATGGATGACGAAAATATTCCGAAATCGTTGACGAAGAATATGGCACGAATATTTTTTGATTAATATTTATATTTTTATAAATATATTATCATAGATATTTATATTATATAGCTTATGATATGGCTAAACTTGTTTCTTTTAATTTTGTCCAATCTTAGCATTCGTGTTTATAATTTTTAAATTATTTATTTATATAACGGCGGGTAGTCCGAAGGAGCTATTACGAAGCCCAAATAGATCGTCCATATCGGAGGACTATCTTTAAAATAACACTGTAGGCGTGTATATCAACGTGGTTTGTTACATTTTATCACTTTTGATACGAAAATATAACGAGATGAGCGTGATGTCGTCGGATGTCCTTACTCCTCGGCGTTCGGAAACAGAATGTGTGCCAAAATGGCGGCAACTTGGTTTTTATTAACGAACTGTCAAAGTCAGTGTCACCATTCTAATAAAATTAAAAGTATCGATGATCACGCTCTCTCTACAATCGAGTAATTAAGTAATCGAGTAACTAGCAATTAAAATAAAAGAACTAAATTTTATTCCTTTTAGTGAGCAGTTAATTATGTATAGAGATTATATATTTTTAATGCCATTTAATTTAATTTAATTGAATTTAATTTGATATCCATAAAGTTATAATAAAAAAAACATACTTTTTTAAATGGCGTCACACGTCCCCATACCTATTTAATAAAAAAATATAGCTAGTGTCACTATGTAGTTTGTGGTAACTTAGGATGATGTTTCTAATGATACCCTATACATTCATATCCGTTATATCTTTCAAAAGTTATGGTGCAATAAAAAAACTCACATACATACATTAATTCTAAAAACAATAGACTCCTTTTCGAGAGCAGTCGTGTTAAAATATTCGAGAATCGATAATGAATCTCACCATAGAAATAGAAAACGTGCAAGTGAATAAAGGAATGGTTAAGGAGGTGAGTGTGGAGGAAGTGAAAGCGGCAGTACGAACTATGAAGATTGGAAAGGCACCAGGCCCAGATGCTATACCAGTAGAAGTTTGGAAGTTTTAAACCATATAGTACAAATTTTATATTTGGGTTATTATTTTCAAAGAGTTTTATATCATGTAAAGAAACAGGAAAACGCATCCCACTAACATCGAACAGTTCTTTATAATGAGGATATGACGAAACTCTTTCAGGGGGATATTTCGCGGGATAAAGGGCAGCGGTCACACACCATAAGAAACAGCACTGGTAACTATATTCAAACATGACTTTTTTAATTGAATCGATTTAGGTAACGGTATAAAGCTTGAGCCACCAAGTGGTTGACATTTATTGAGATTGACCTTCATATGCAAATTGATCAAAAATGTCCACCCACTATCGCGATCCTCGAATTCCTCAATACATTTTTTGAGGTAATTTACTACTTCAATGTAGAAATTGTTAAATTCATAATTAGAATATAATATTTTATTTTTTGTTCCAAAAGATTTAATTTCTTGAGAATTATCTTTAAATTTTAAAAACGTTGCGAATAGTTCTAAATTTACTTTAACACATGTATGCGATTTGAGAAATTGATCTAAAATCATTTTTAACTTATCACGAATCTCATAAAAAAATCCATCTACTGAACCCGACTGCAAATCATTTATAGCAACTATTCGATATGTTATTATACGATTACGAAATGCAGATGTTATGATTTCTACACCTTCGCTATGTTTCATTGAGCTACTATTTTGCTTATGTAAATTGCTTCTCAAATGACCCACCCATGATTTATTAAGAACAGCTGTGTTACACGTTGCACAGAAAGGCATCTTATAGTAATAAATTGCTACGATAAAAAACTAATATCATTAAATAATGGAATAAAAATAGAAAGCACTTACATAAATTGATTGTTTAATAAAATAAACAATTATTTGGTACCCAATTTACTTAAAATTAATTTTATCTGAATAATGTGTAGGTTCTGAGTCTTCAAATACCGTCCAAGCTTGTCCTAGGAAGGCTTGAAGAGCGTCCCACGATGGTGACGAGTCTTCACACTGTAACTTAACTGTTACTAATGCTGTCTTGTAGCGCACATCGACGGGATTGGAAGTGTAGTCTCCTGTTTTGTAGACTTTAAGGTCTACAAAAAACTCGCCTGTAGTAGCTGCGGTGCGACGACTTGTACCCGTTGATACACGGCTGGCAAAACTGGACGTCACGATTCCACCACTTCTCGGTCGACCGCTAGCTATCTCTTCCGACTGCAATATATTGAACAAGTCCCGTTTCTTGTTCACTATGCAAAGTAGAAACAAACATTTTATTAAATTAATTAAATGACCGTACATAACATTATAATAAAAATACTATGAGATCAAAAAACTATGTATATGTACTGTAAAAAGATTTCCTATTATTATAACACTGTATCTTTAAAATTTAGTTTAATAAGGAGTATGTTATATTTAGATCGATAAATATCTGGTTAACATAATGTAAGTACTGACAAAGTAATATTCAATGATAGGTAAATAACTTACTTGTGAGGTGGAGAAAATTCATATGGGGCTTGTTTGGAGCGATATTTCTTGGTGTCAACAGTGGCAACTGTTGTACCTATGGTTTTGCGCTTGCCTGTCGCAACACCAGCAGACGATGTCTTCTTTTTTTTAATTGGAACTTCGGAGATAACAGACGCTTCAAACTCAGAGTCAGACCTGTAGGGCGAGCACGAACTTGTAAAGTATTCGTAACGTGAACGTATCGAGTCGCCGATAGGTTTACGTTAGTTCGTAGCACAAAGCACTTTCGCCGTCGTCACGTGAACTCGACACGATAACGCTGATGACGTCATCCTAATGTAATTTGAACGGGATCAAATGAACGAACACAAACCATTTTGAACGAATGTTGCGTTCTGAAATTAGATCTCTTAATATACGATATTTTAACGCGAGAATCTTTTTAGGAGATTAATTGATAATATTGAAGGAAACAATAAAAATACTATAATAAATATATAATGTGACAAAAACTATTCATAAACTTATGTTATTCTATGTTAATATCAAATTTTAAATACATTCTACGTATAAGGTTTAACAACCTTCGAATTCCGAACGACTAACTTGATTTTGTCAAGTTGATACAAGGGGCATCCCAGACGGAGCGGTATAATTACAATATTGTGCTAATAATGAGAACAAGCCATTTACAGTACTTAATGATGGTAGAGTTTATGGAAAAGTAAGTAAAGTGAATAATTATTATGCCTTTATATAAATCAATAAAGCATTATTATGATTTTGTATTTACACACACATTTAGTGACCCGTGAACTTAAAAGTTAATTAGTTTTATTGGTTTCACAGAAACGGAGATTTGTCTAAACCATCTGGTGGTCCTAGGGGTCGTCATTATATTCAATTAAAATGGAAGGAATTAACACAGAAATTGAACAGTGAAGGGACGGGTGATTTTCGCTCGGAGGAGAAGTGGCGCAAGGTATGCATTCTCAAGTGGTCACCCAAATCACTTTACACTCAAGTTTTTGTCTAGCTTTAGGCAAAGAAATTTTTTGTTATTATATTTAGAACGTATCTTCCAAAGTTATTTTTTATATTGAAGGTGTGGAGCGATTTAAAAAATAACACCAAAAGGAAATGGGCCAAAATTAATAGAGCTGCTAGTGGCACTGGTGGTGGGCCTGCACTTCAATTATCTTTGACTGATTTAGAAAATAGAGTCATGCAAATAATTGGAGTACAGGCAGCTACTGGCATGGAGATTGTGGAGGCTGGGTTTCAACAGGTTTACTTATTATTTATTCTACATGTTTGTTATTAACACACATTTCATAATATTAAACCATTATAATTAACACGATATTATCATTATTATAATAAAAATAATTCTTAGTCTTCTCAAATTGTATTATATCTTATATGTACGTTTAAGCTTTGAAAAGTATAACCAAAATCCTATTAAAATACTTACTTTGACAAAAGACGAAGATTCAAATCTCGTTTCAGGATTTTTTTTACTTTTTTGTTTTTTTTTTTGTTATAGACTGAAGTTCATACACCTGACATTCCTACCGAAAATGAGCATGAAGCAATATTAGAGGAAACCACAGGTACTTATATGTACTTAATCATTTAATATTTTTATATAAACTTTTATTACTACTTACAAATTATTTTTAAAAGTTATATTTAATGTATGATTGTGTTTTATTTATTACAGAAGAACATTGGAACACTCCAGGCACTAGCAGCCAGCCTACTGTACATCCAACAGCCACAAATGATATCGGACCTCCGACCATTGATGACGCAGACGAATGGCAACCACCCGCTCCCAAAAGAAATAAAAAAGATAGCTTAGCAAAATTATTTATAGAATCTGATAGGAATGCAAGACAGTATGCTAGAGAGCGTGATTTGGCGTACGAGAAATTAGAGAAAGAAAGAATAGAGTTGCATGATTATGAGATTCGTGAAAGGGTAAGACAGCGAGATCAAGAGCTTGTATTACAAGCTCAATGGTTAGAATTTATGAAAGAATGTTTGAATGTTATTACAAAGTATTTTGATAAGGATAAGTAGATAGAAATAGCATAGCATGTAATATTAAAACAATTGTTATTATGAATAGTTAATTTAATTTGTTTAGTAATAAATAATCTTTATAGTAAGAAAAAGACAGTAACATAAGTATAGTTTTCTTTTGATTTCTTTCACAAATGTATAAATAAAAGGATTTTTACTTTTTACACCAAATGTTTTATTTAATAGAGAAAATATGTCAAATCTAAATTATTACCTATTACACATATATGAAGTCTATTCTGATTAATATAAAAAAAATTGTTTATTTAAAATATTTCAATATTATTTATTATGTATGTATATCTGATAAAAAAAACACACTACACAAAAGAAGAGCAAATAATAAAATAAATTAAGTGACAAAACATGAATCTAAAAACTACATATAGTTTTTAGATTCATGTTCTGTCACTTAATTTAACAATTATAATAATTATATTAATAATTAAAAGAAGTACAATTATAATAATTATATTAATAATTAAAAGAAATGCTACACTCATGTGGTAGAGAGGATCAAAAGATTTCATTGTCTATTGATTCTCTCTACCAGCATGGATCTTATTGCTCTTCCCCTAACCAGATCATCTCCAATATCATTTTCCTGAAACACGTGTCGAGAAAATATATGTTGTTGGCTTTCTTGGTCGTCATGTGGTTCAGGCACATTAAATTCAATGGCTAAGTTGTGAAGAACACTGCAGGCCATTATTATTTTTGCACATTTTTCGGGTGCATAGTGTAGAGTGCGATCTTTACACAGACATCGCCAGCGATTTTTTAATCGGCCAAAAGTATTTTCAATGGTCACCCTGGCTCTTCCATGAACAGAATTGTATTTGGCTTCTGGACTGCCATCTAACGCATCATTGATGGGGGTCATCAGCCAAGGGCGTTGAGGGTATCCAGAATCACCTGTAAAATAAAAAGTTATTATTATCTAACAAAATATAGTATAATTTTGTAGTGATTTTATAGTCACTTATTATTTCCAGGTTTAAAAAAAAATGTTTTATGGAACAACTATTTGCGGATAAATACAGTGCTTTAAATATTATTAAAGAAATAGTAAATAAATAAATAAAATTACCTAGTAACCAGGCTTGTTCATTATTTCTGTGTAAATTTTGCATAAAACTGTTTACTAAACTATTCTCCCAAATAAATGCATCGTGAGTAGCCCCCCCATATTTGGCATTTACATTTAAAATCTTACAATCACTGTCGCATACCTGAAAAAAATACCAATCAATTTTATTTTATTCGTGTCCTTAACAATCGCTGTTATTTGTAACAGCGATTGTTAGTTACTTTTTGGTAACTAATAGGTACCTACCATTTGTACATTTATTGAATAAAAATGTTTTCTAGAATAAAATAGATGCTCCCTTTCTTTGTTGGGTGTAAATATATGAAAATGGCTTCCATCAATACAACCTATGACCCCAGGGAAACCATATTTTGCATAGAATCTGAAAAAAATTATAAATCACATCGATGCAAAAAATTATACATCACAGCAGTTATAATCAAACAGAGGAACCAACAATGACAAAGACAAAAATAAAGCGCAAATTGTAAAAATGTGACAAATTAAACTTTTAAAAAGGATGGTATCATCCGATCATTCTCCAACAATTTTTATTATCATGTGATTAGAACTTAATTCTAATAAACATACAGCAAATATTAAAGTTGTTAGTCCTAGTTCAGAGAAAATTATTAATTCAACACAATGGATTAGTTACTTACTGATTTTTTATTGCTTCTCTGTGTATTCTCGTGTCAGGAAATTTAATAAACAAATTCATCATCATTATTAATGCATCGGTGACTTCCCGAACATATTTGCTGACAGTGGTTTGACCCAAATGTTTTGCCATACCAACAAGCCTTTGGTATGATCCAGTGGCATAGAAAGAAAGAGCACAAAGGACCTGTAAAATGCGATCAATTTATTAAATATTCTGTATGAGTGGTGTAAGGGAGTAATTATGACAACTAATAATGTTAAACATCTTACCTCGAGTTCTAAACTAATTCTTTTGCTTGATTTTAAAGAAGTGTGTCGTCGAAGTTTATCACATAAAAAATTAAACGCCCTTTTGGTTAGTCGGAATCTTTTACTAAATTCTAGTTCACTTATTTCAAGCAAATTTACTAGTTTTCTTTGTCGAGCTCTACGACTTATTTCACTGCAAGAATTAATTAAAATATTATAGTACTTAATTGATTTTTATTTAAAAATTAGTAACTCAATATAAGCTATAATGACTTACGTGGTTTCTCTATTTTCCATTGTTACTCTCTCACTTAATCTAAAAGCTAGATAATAATATAATGGACTACGTTGATATCCAGACACTCTCTGCATTTTGAAGTCAATTTTAATCTTAACAATCACACAAAGCACTTTAAAATATGGTTGAATAATCTAACGCAAGTATTCTCACCGACAAATTCTACGTGAATAAACATTCGTAAGTTTACGATAGCCAGCCTTCGTAAGTGGCGATACCGTACGTCAAAAAAAAGTTCGTGCTCGCAACTTTATAAGAAACATCTCAAGTATCGTTGACGACACGTAACGATAGCGATACGAATGTGTTTTGTGCTTCCAAATTTAGTTACGTTTACGCCCGCTAGAGGCGCTGCGTAATTCACATACAAACATTTACGATCACGATACGAATATTTTTACGCAAATTGTTCGTGCTCGCCCTACTGTTGGAATAAACACTTATTTAAATATCACTCTAAAAACATTGGAGGTACTGTTGAAAGCCTTGTAAAGAAATAAATTTTACTTACGTACATTTTCTATACTTTGTATTTGCGTCACTTTAAAATATATATATATATATATATATATATATAATTTATATATTAAGTTGACCAATGCAGATAGGTAGATTACCAATCTATAAATTTCAGAAAATGAATAATTTTCTTTGATCACCGAGTTTTTATGCAAGAAAATCGTCGTTTTCATCAAAATAAACACCTAACTGGTCAAGCGCGAATGCTTTATTGCACAACATATTTATTAAGTTTAATTGATTGTAATGGTGATTAAAAATAAAATATTGAAATTTTATAGAACTTCTAACTCATCTGTTTTACTTACTACTGCAATCGTAAATACCTATATTGATTTAGTCTATTGATAAACATATATAATGTTCAATTAAATGTTGAACTTAAATCATACAAGCGAACCAAGGATAAATTATTATATTTTTAGCGTAAACATGTCGGTTTGTCAAACGAAATAATAATTTGTAGTACCGCAATGAAATTTGGTACAAATATTCAGTGAGGTTTGGAGATTCGAATGATGTATAATTTGTAGTGTTTTTCTATAACATATATGTATGTTATATGTCATAGAAGTAAAAAAATGGGAAAAACACAAAAATAAAATGCTAAAAAAATAATTCCAAAAGAAAGACAAGTTTTAATGAATAAAAAGGCTAAAACTATGGTTAAATATAATTACCCAAATAATAAATAATACAATTTTTTTTTTTTGTTGAACAAACAAACTATACTAGGCCTGTAGCTTCAGAGATTGATATAATTCGTTACAAACATTACTAATAACTAAATATCAATATTATTTTTATTTTGGTAGGTACCTATATTGCTTCAGGATCAGGGTCAGTAAATGTGCGTTCACTTTCAGGTACCACTTTTAAAAGACTTACTGCCTCTACATCAAGATTTTTTACATTTCTTAAGTATGGTTTTCTTAAACTTGTTATATATGGATCTGACGTGCACAAAAGCATTTTTAAGACATCTTCATTTGTTGCAGACCGGGTACATTTTCTGGCATGATGAAGTCGCATGTTTCTGTAGTCTTTGTTGCGAGACTCTTGTGCGTCTTCCGACAGCTGTCCAATAGGAAGCACTGCAAAATGTTTGATAACGTTTTCTCCGTGTATGAGTATTTTATGAACGGAGGACGGCATATAATACCAATCATAATTACTCACATATATTCTTGCAGTTTCTATTGCATATACTCCAAACTTTTTGGAATCAATCATCTTTCCAGAAGATAGAACTTGTAAGATAATATACAGGCGTTTAATAAATGTTTCGTCTACACCCGTAATTTCCGCTGAGCAAGTGTAATTAAAAAAAAATCTTCGTGCGGTATTGCCATCGTTTGTGTTCCCGCTAACTTGCCGAGGTTTGTCGACGATTAATCCCAACTCTTCCCTGAATCGTTTTTGAACGAGTTCCTTCTTTTCTTTTTTTATCTCTTTTTTTCTTCAGTTGAAGCAGACCAAGTCCTAAAGAAAGATTATAGGAAATATGCAATATCATTTCCATGCAGCGAATCCAGGCGTGTAAGGTGGACAATCCGTATTGGTAGGCGCTTTCGTTTTCAGGTCTGACAATTACTTTCGATAGGTCATTCATTAGCCGTGGAGTAGCCCCACATATCGTGCATGTGGAACCAGATGGAGTATCTGTAAGAACCTGAGCCACCTTTCCATCGATCATTGTAAGATATAGTTCATGCTTCACATTTACTAAAACACCATTTTTGTTTATCAGTGATGCTTGTAAAGCCCCAATTTGTCTACTAATATCATCCACAACTGCCTTGGTTTTTACTGAAGTTTCCTTACAAAACTCAATAGAAATGGGTCTACAAAAACGAACAGATGAAGGTACCGGATTTTGCCAAACAACAAATCCCGACTGTTTATCAACTAATCTGATGGGGACCAATGAAGTAATGAACAAATTAGCATCTGAAACGGTTTCCGATTCTTCTGGAAGTGTTTGCTTGTATTGGCTTTGACCAGATGAACCATCACATCCCCATTTACAGTAAAGGGTCAATGTTCTATATTGTTCTTGGAAAACAGACTCGATTTTTAAAATTCTAGCAACAGTGTGATCCAATAAATCTTGAATATTAATTACTTTAGCATAAGTATTTGTAATTTCTAGAGTTGATAATGGTGGATAACAAGATT